TTAGAGGCGGTCTCAGTGACCTGAGAGCGTGACCGCAGTGCCCAAGGGACAACTGCTTGAGGCCGGTCGCGCACGGCCTTTTCGTGGAAGGTTTTCTGACGTGTTAGCTCCGTTCTTCAAAGGGCCTTACCGCCGGAGACGGAGATCCGTGAGGTAAGGTGAGGTGTGCATTTTTAGGGTCGACCTTTTCTAACCCCACCCCTCCTTATGGGAAGGCAGCATCGCTGTCATGCTGGTTGTCTGAAGGAAACACCTTACTGCTGTCACACCTCTGTACAGTCAGCAGTACGACTTCGCCTTCGGACCTTGGGTTTGTTGCTTTTAGCCTTACCGCTCTTCAACCGACCTGTCTGATATGGTAGGACCTTGAGGAACGGTTGTTCCAGCCAGTATAGCTCGGTTGCTTCATCACGATAGGCAAGCCCGACCACCACGTCAAGGTAGCAACAACGGTCGGGAAATAATGGGGTAGTAGATGTGGTAACAGTTCTTGCGTTAATAGGAAATATTAATTGCAGAATATACAATTCTATAAGGAAATACTAATTCGTGGGGTAGTAAAAAATTTAAGACAATTCGCAAACTTAGTATCTGAAGAAACAGAAAGAAAAATTACTAATTTGAGTAACATATGAGGGTAAGTAACATCAACTTCATTGGGAGTCTAAATATTAAAAATTTAACTCAGTAAGAATAAATGTGGTCAAGAGTGAAATATACAATATGATACAAAACTCAAGGTTTACAAAGTAAAGAATAAATGTAGATACTATTGTCTGGCAGCCTTAACTATTATACTGTTCTACTTAATTTGCATTAATTCACCCATTATTTCAGATACGTTCTGAGTATTCAATTGAAACACAGTGAAGTATTCATTTTTCATTGTCAGCCAAATCCAATGCTTGCTAGGGATACCCATACACGAGTAGATCGCACATAACGATGAATAAAGTTTAGTGGCCAGTAACATGTGCTCATTTGTTAGATAATCTTAACATTCCTATGGGGTTATAGCTCAGTTGTAATGGTACTTGATTTCGAATTGCCAAACTGCCTGTCTAAACCTTTCTTCGTATGCTTCATTTTGGGTGCCCCGTTGGTATCTACATTCTTCATATAGCAGCTATGACCTAAAGATTAATATTTGTACTTATTTACAGATTCTAAAATGCGAATAAATATTGTTAATGTTTTTACCAAACATATATAGCCGTGCGTAGTTACATTCCATACTCTTATAAATGTAAATATAAATTTTTATTTTCCAAAAACGACCATCATTTTTTAACTTACTGGTGATGAGTGTTGATTTGTCAATTATTTTGACACATGTAAGTTAAAAAAGATCTATCGTAACGGATTTATTTGTAGGAATATTTAGAATAAATGTGTACTGACTTTTGTTAATATATAATACTGATGACCAATAACTGAATATGTTTCGTTTTAAATGTGCTTATCGTTTTCACAGGAATAGCTGCTGTAACTACAGCTGGCATTGGTTTGATGTGGAATTCTACATTTTCTAAAATATACTTTCCGTTAGACCTCGGTATTCGTTGGTTTCCTACTGTTCGAAGAAGTGGTGCCTTGATTACAATCACACCAAGTGTTATACGATTTATTACAACTACATTGAGTGCAATTAGTGCCTCTGCTGCAGGATTATACGCATTGTTTTGGCAATGGGATCCATGCTGTAAGTATCAAGTTGCACCATCGCTAGCATCTCTGCCAGTTGGAACAGCTTCCTTTGTAACAAGTAGTAGTCATGCATTGACGAATTCACATCCAGATGATAATTCGCCAAGCAGCGGAATGAGCAACGGTGAAAGCCCCAGTGGTTCTTCGGAAATGAGCAATGGAAAGCGTGCTCGAGCTATCATTGCAGAGAATCATTCCAATTCAAATAGTCCTCCATTACGTCCAGTGGTTTTAGTTCATCGAGATGATGGAAAACGAAAAATACTGCATAATGCCGTCTCTCTAACCTCTGCTCTAGTCGCTTGTTATATTCTTTTTAGATGGTCTAGACATTCAAATATGATTGTTAGTAACCCTTAATTTTATTGTATCTTTCTCCATCGTAGTCTGTCTGTTTTCTTATGTGTAATAAACAAACTAACCTCTTTCTACCGACATGTAGAGAACAATTTCTTCCTTTTAGATTATTTTTTTCCTAAAATCTCCGTTACAGTATCCTATAGT